AATGACGTGCGCCAGAAGTTGAGGTCAGCTCTAGACCGTACATTCCCAACTACTCAACGCAGACTTATTGCTTCCACTTGTGGAATTGATTTGGACAAACGTAAACATGGCTGGCAAACCAGTTCCGTCTCACACACTGTATACCAGTTCACCTGCAGTTGCGGTAACGCATAAATAGGCAGAACAAACCGTCAACTATCAACGGATGGCCAAACATATTCCAAAGGGGTTAGTGAAATCGATGACGCAGCCGATAAATGATGGCCAAGGAATCCAGGATCATCTGTTGCAAAACACCTCATGGCAACAAGACACACAGCTGACCCTAATTCGTCTTTCAAACCACTATTACGTAATCGCAATGCTAAACCTTTGGCGATTTGTGAAGCACTGCGTATTCGATGACATCACCCGATCTTATGCGTCATATTCTTGAGCTCTGTGATTGCCTTATAGTGTTTTGGAGTGAAGCAGCAGTGTTGTCGAATCGGTGCCGTAAGGTAGGAATGACAAACTTCCACCAGTTTCGCACGGGTCCACCTGGCGTTTTCGGCTGATGTAGGTGAAAGTTCTTTTAACTGATCATAAAAGTTTCGAACTGAACACGAGTTTGCAGATCGTCAACCTTTCTTGGTGGAATCTGGAACTTCATCCCCATGGATAGAACACCCGACCTTATGTGCACAGAAGTTTTTGATACAAGCAATCCACTTACCGTGGAGCTGACATTTTACTTCTAAATTTAGTATTCTTTGTATACGTTCGTTCACCATAATTGATTAATCCCATGTGCTATATATGTGCCTGTTTGTTTCAAGTCAGCGACTGAGAAGATTAAAACGAAATGTTAATATCTCGCGACATTTGTCTTTTCTGTGTTTTAATGAAATAGATAAAGGGAACTCAATGCTTCAATCCTGTAGTCTCAAGTGGCATCAATTGAATTGATTGAACATAAGAAGGCAACCAAATGAGCCATATCGTTGTCGATTGCATATCGAAGAATCAACTAATGGTTGTTGGATACTTGTGATACTTATTCACATGATTTTCGGAATAGAATTAACTTAATCCACACCTGGTCTTGGTTCTACCTGACTTTGCGCTATTCAGTGGATTTTCGATCCGAATCCGAGTTCGCGCTATTCGATTCCGAATACTGGTGGAAGTTTGTCATTCCTGCCTTACGGCACCGATTCGACAACACTGCTGCTTCACTCCAAAACACTATAACGCAATCACAGAGCGCAAGAATATGATAGATATGTTAGATATGCTATCCCCCGCTGTCTTTCTATCCCATAATCTATCTCTGAAATTTCGTCCGGTTCAAACACAAATCATGTGGAAAGATGGGCAGTGGTAGTAGTTGATCAGTACGGATTCAACCAATGACATTCCCGTGTAAGTATTATTTGACCCTCTCGATTTGTTTCACCAAACCAACCGCCACTACTTGGTTTCGGAATAGGAAGACTTCAGTGGTTTATCACTATCTCGAACACGTCTGAGATTCCTGATCTGCATATATTCGAAATACTGCACGCTGTCTTAATGGGCATCAGCACAATTGCTGAGTTGTAAGTGTTCAGGGCTAAC